GAGAGAGAGAGAGAGAGACAGAGACAGAGACAGAGACAGAGACAGAGAGATAGGGAGACAGAGACAGAGAAACAGACAGAGAGGATTATTTTTGAATTGAATCTGACCTCAAGCCAACAGACAAAACTAAAACTTCCCCTCCTTGCCCCGTGGGGGAGTTATGGATGGCCACAGCCTCTGGTCTGGCTTTGTCTTCTCTCATTCTTTTATTAGCTGCCTAATTGGCAGCCCAATTAATCTGCTCATCTGTGAAGGAGGGTGGATCACAATGAGCATTCTCTGAGGCAGCAAGGCTCAGCCCCAAGTGCAGGCTGGCTCCTTGATAGAGGGCCTCCCCGGAAGCCAGGGTCAATTAGCGGACAGATTAAGCAATTATTAGCCCCTAACAAGGGCGCCTGGCATCATTACCCTGCCTGTTTATTGGCAAACTGCAACTTTAATATGAAGACCAACAAATAAACTAGGGCATCTGGTTCACTGTCGTGTAGGCTGAGAAGTAAATGATGTCCAACTGGCTCTCGGCTGCTGATAGATTCTCAGCCTGGCATAATGAAAAGCCTGAGATGTCCCTTGCTGGTCACAGCAGCTTTGGAATGAGCTCTAGAGTCATTTATCATTCCAAGAGCAAGTGCCTACTGCAGGACACATGAATTGTTTTAGTTACCCTGCTGTCTTCCTCATGTCTGTCAAGACTTTTCAGGGCCCAGTTCAGAGACTCCTTCTCTAGCAGGGAGGAGATTCTCCCACATTTGAGGGAACTCTCCTACCATTTTCTGGCATTACACTAATTTCATGAAATGGCAGAACAGTGTTTTGTCTGTATGTACAAGTCTCCAGTGAAGTGGACACGTGGAGCAGAGAGGAGGGGCAGGGCTGAGAACTGTTGATTTCCCCACCTCCCTCTTGTGAATAGAGGCAGGCCATCACCAGAAGGATACTAAGGGGATACTTCAGGAAGGCCCCCGTGGTTATGTGATGAGGGCACCTACAAGAAGTTGTTGCTGCCATCCATGCCTGCCAAGGTACAGCTCAAATACTATCTTTTCTTGGAAACCCTCTCTGCTCTATTTGTAGGAAGTACTGACTCCCTCCTGTCCCTGGGCCTCAGTGCTATGTCTTGAAATATCTTTCTCTTAGAAACAAAGATGTGTTTGGATGATTCACTGGCAAAGACCTAGTTCATAGTTATCAATCCAAAGTAGCTGATAACACAGGCCAAAAACCACTGGTTGCGCTCATGTTTTTTCTAAACCAATTAAAAGTGCCTCCGCCTTGAAACACTTCATGGCTAAACACTGGCATGTCTGTTTCCTTAGGGATCATTGACTTCCTTGTAAGTCAGCATCCAATTGCTCGTGTTCTACGAGAATACCTGGTCTTCAAGATTGCACCAATGCTTAACCCTGATGGAGTCTACCTAGGCAACTACAGGTAAGAGACTTGGGAAAATGCTTGGAAGAAGGTGGTTGCAAGATGGAGATATGGAACCAAGAATAAACCATGTATAAACTTTTGTGAAAGAATTTTTAGACTATCGTTAGATGATTTAATAGAGGAAGTTTAAAAATTAGAGGAAATTTGATTTCACTTCATGAGTGTAGCTAACATCCTTGACTATTTATGGACAGCTACCCAGAGTCACTTACTGGGTAGACTGTGGGACCAAGATTCAGAAGAACTAATATTAATTAATACCTACGTCCTCTGTGACCTGGAGGAATTCATTTTCCCTCTCTGATACTGAATTTCTCTCGTATAAGAGATGGTAATTCCCTGACAGGACAGTTGTTTTAGAAGAAATGACAGAAAAGAATGTGCTTTGCAGAGTCTCATATGGTACATGTAGTGATGCCTGATTTGCAGCTGTGTTTCTCCCTGGAGACCATTAATGAAGGAAAATAGCAGCCCAGATCGTGTGAGCAGCACTTTTGGATACAGCCTGACTTTTGCTCATGTGCCATATCTTGAATGCTCCTTCTCCTATCATAGAAACATCGTTTAGATCCTAAAATTCCACTGCCCATGGGGTCATGTGCCACAAGAACACTGAGTCCTTTGAGATAGACAGTTTTATTGCCATTATTTCACAGTTGAGGAAACTGACTTACCCAAAATCACATAGCTGTAGGTGATTGATATGGATCTTCACTGCCCAAATTATATGACTTTAGAGTTGTTCAGGCCCCACAACTTTCAAGACAATATCCACCCTCCCTAGCTTGGCATGCAAAGCTTTGCGTGACCCAGGACCTGTTTATGCACTGGTGTCAGTCTGTCTCACTTTTCTTCCCTCCTAGAGATGCTGCTCTGGCTAGTCTGAGCACAGCCTATTGCCCCAGACAAGGACATTGGTTCCTGCTACCTTACCTTCATGAAGCAGCCTGTGCCTAGGACCTCCTCATCCCTTCTTTGCCTACTAACCGTCTTGGCAAACTCAGCTTGTCCTTCTAGAAATCATCCCTTCAACTCCCATACAGAAGTGGCAACTCCCTTTTGAGTTTCCACAGGCCTGGTTATTTAACAAGATTCATAATTCATTATGATAGCTTAGGAGTGTATGCATAGACCCTACTGAGCTATAAGTCCCCAGAAGACAGGACAGTCTTTGTGTCCCTATTGTCTGGCAGAAAACATCGGAATGTAATAGATGTTCTAAGAGTAGTTGATGAATATAAGTGAGTGAAAGTGATGATTTTAGTGATGAAGAAAAAGAAAGGATGGCACTTTCCCAAGGCCCTTGGCCAAGTTCTGATATATGATCTTGGAACAACCAGCCAGACCCATTTTACACAGGGCTGGTTTATTACTTTCTAAAACCATGGAGATTGGGTCCAGAGGGGCTCTTTGGCACCCCTGGGTATAAGAGAGACCCATGGGATGCATGAAGCCTTCATTAAAGACAATTTTGCTTCTTCTCTTAATTGGCTGGAGGGATGGCTCATTAGCACTGGCAGGTTTTATGGCTTGTTGCAGGCCTGAGAGCAATGCCTTACTGCCTTCCCTAGATAGAATGTGTGGTTAGCGATGATGGTGGGGGAGAGACCATTTGATTTATGTTAATGTTTCTGTTTAATTATAAGAGCTGCAATGGTCAGAGAGAGGTCAGTTCTGCCACTCCACATACTTATTTATGTCATCATCTGCTGTCCAGGGAAGGGCTAGCTATAAATAGGTCTGTGACCTTGGTCAACATGGCTCTGTTCTCTGTGCTTCAGACAGTTCAGGGGGTGGTGAGGGGGACTAGATGATTTCCACATTGCTTCAAGATCCAAATTTTGTGACGGGGTCAGGGACACTGGGGAGGTTTCAGGATAAAAGAGCTCCAGCACTCAGAAATTGTTTCATGGTGAAGCTTCAATTCCCAACACTTTCTTAGTGACAAAATATGATTCTTTATCATTATGAGTTGCAGAAAGTCTTCAACCAAAGGCATTAATCCTGTTGCTAAAACAGATCTGAGTAGCAACAAGGAGCCTATCAATTATGATAATCCATTACTACGGCTTTGGAAAGTGTGAAAGACAATAATAAAGACAGAATTCGGAGTTTCAAGGTCCCCTGAGAGGTTTCCACACCAGTCCCTCCTGGAGCCACGCTGCTCTCTGCAGCAGTATTTCTAGGGTTTGGTGGGGTTTGCCAAGCCGTTCTGGAGAGAAAAAGAATTCGGAGTTCAAAAAGTTTGGGAAAAGCTGAGTTAAGTAAAGTTAAACACATCCTTTTACAGTAAGACTTTTCAGAATGTAGAATATATTAATGATAACAGGCAGTCTCAAAAAGAAACAGAGACCTTAGTGTTTCAAAAAGATAAGTGTTATTATAGTCCATATAGTCCACCACCCACATTAGGCTTATAGAATATCTTGGGAAATGTCATCCCAAGAAGTCTGCTTCCTAACTCAATGGTCTGTCAAGCACTCACATGTATTTCAGAATGACTCTGAGGGAAGGACTCTGTTAGGGTTTTTATACTTGTAAATATGAAAATATACTCAAGTTAGCTTAATATAGAAAGGATGGTTGAGAGAGGAAAAGAAAAGAAGGGAGGGGAAAAAGGGAGGGAAGGAGGGAGGGAGGGAGGGAGGGAGGGAGGCAGGGAGAAGGCTCTCAGAATTCTAGGGCAGTACATAAAACCAGGCCTTACAAGATACTAGTGAGATCACTGGGTACAGGTCATAACACAGGCAGCTATGTGTCTGCTTCCCTCTCATGCCCTGTTGACTTCCATTCTCTCCACATCTCCTTCTGGATGTGCAATTCCTCAGAGAAACTAAAGGATATGCCTCAGATCAGTGAGGGGCTGGCAAGGATGAATATCTGTCTGAGCCAGCCCCAGCTCCTGCCTGCTGCAGCCAGGCTGGACCTGCATGACTCTGAGAACACAAGAAGACAGGCCTACTCAGATGTACGTCACTGCATTGGAAAGGCAGATCACAGGTCACTTCCCTGAAGTGTAGAGTGCAACTGGGGACTTTAGAGGCACGAAGACCACTGGGCTTAGGTGATAATATGGGCTTAGATGGGATATCAAATTCTGCTCTGCCGCCTACTTGCTGCAGGGCCTTGGGTAAATGTCATAGTTGTACTAAGCTCTATTTTAAAAAACCATTTGTAAATAAGAAACTAAGGAGTTATGAGGCCTTTGTGTGAAACTATACTTAAAGCATAGTACTGGGCACATTGTAAGTTCTAAATAAAAATGTATAATATATTCTTTCTCTTCTTCCTCCTCCTCTACTCCACATTAAAGATGCATGGGACCAATTTAGGAAAAATAGATCTCACAGATTCTATCAGCTAAGCTTATATTTAATAATATGACAACCTAGACTATGGAACTAATAGGTATAGAAGGTTCATACAGGGTAAGGATGGGGTTCAGTTAGGTAGAATGTTTGCCTAATGTGCAAATCTCTGGGTTTGATTCCCAGCACCACATAAAACTATAATTTCAATACTCAGGAGGACCAAAAATTCAAGGTCAACCTCAGCTACATAGTGAGTCTGAGGCCAGCTTAGACTACATGAGACCTTGATCTATTGAGGAGAGAGAGAGAGAGAGAGAGAGAGAGAGAGAGAGATTCAGCATTTAATAACAATAGATGTCACTATACTATGATAGAGAATGTTCTTTATGTTAAAGAGCAGCAGGATCTAGCTTTAGTAACTGAATATGGTACTATGCTATGGCTGTGGTAAGAATATATAATGCCTATATTAAAGTTTATATCACAATATGTAGCAACTATGGTGTAGTCTACAGTCGTTCTTACAACTACTACGTTAGATGATATGACAATACATAACCTTTACGTGTAGAATAAAGACAGAGGGCAACTACGCACTCTATCTTGCTTATTGTACTCCAATTCCACTTCTCTCTTTCTACTTCAGATCTCAGGCTTCATGCTAAGCAACATGAAGTTCTTCATAGCACCTGCATAGATAGTGGACTCCTCACTATAGTCTCTCGTAGCTCCTGGCATTGTCTTTTCATGGCCCTTATCCCAATTTGTAATCATGTATTTATGTAACTTTGCCTAATGTTCGTCTTCACCTCCACACGGTAAATCCATTATCAGGACTTTGTCTACTCTGTTCCTGTTAGGGCTGCCACAGGGCCTAACAAAGAATGGGCCTTTTATCTCTATTTTCCAAATGAACAAATAAACTAAACACTAGTATATAGTGATTGTGCTATGACACAAAGCCAAAATCCCCAGAAAAGAATAATTATGGCCAGTTGCTGTCAACTTCCAAACCTTTATCATCACCCTCCATGGCTTCCTAACCCCAATTGTTGAATTGCATACTATTGTGACATGAATATTTTTAAGATTAAACATGATGAGCTGCTGTTACAACTTAAACCCCGATTGTTATAGTACAGTGCACAATTCTAAGAGCACTTAAGAACTACATTTGATGACTACAACAGTTGGAGAAAGGAAAGTCAGTTCTTAGTGTATCCATTGGAGTAAATTGGAAACTGAGCCTGAGAAGGTGAAGAGCTACTGGAAAGGTCCCAGGCTTGAGTCTCGGGGCTCTGTGCTCCACCTGCTGCCTATGCTTTACAAGTTATAGCTGGAAGCAGAGCCCAGGCAGTTCTCTTCCCTTACCCTACAGGGCTGGTTGTCCTGAACAAAACACATTTCTCTCCTAAACCCAACTTTCCTCCTGCATTCTTAGATGAACAAAACATGATAGAAGGCAACTTCCATCACTTAGTAGAAGAGCTGGGGAAAGACTGTCAAGAACAGTGTGGCCACAACTTGAAGGAACCTAGAGAATATTTATGCCAAGCTAAATAAGCCAGTCACAAAAATGTAAATACTGCATGATTCTACTTATATGAGGTACTTAAGTAGCCAGCTAGTATTATGACGGCTACCAGGGGAGGGAGAATAGGAAGAGGGAGAATAGGAAGTTGTGGT